CCACAGTTTTTTGAACTCTGTTCATGACCCATTAAGGGTAGAGAAATCAATTTATTGACTCATAACCAGTATTTAAAAAGAAAGAAAGAACTAGGACAGAGTAGAAAGTATCAGAGTAGAAAGTATCAGAGGGATGCCTGGATTGGCTTCTGGTTCAAAGCATTAGAAAGCTATCTGGACCTGGAATGGCTAGGTTTGATAATGCCCATTTCCCCTTTTCCTAGCTACTGCCAAATTGTTCTTTTTTTTTTTTTTTTTTTTAAGATTTTATTTATTTATTCATGAGATACACACAGAGAGGCAGAGACACAGGCAGAGGGAGAAGCAGGCTCCATGCAGGGAGTCTGATGTGGGACTCAATCCTGGGTCTCCAGCATCATGCTCTGGGCTGAAGGCAACGCTAAACCGCTGAGCCACCCAGGCTGCCCTGCCAAATTGTTCTTGACAGTGGTTATGGCAGTTTACCATTTCACTACATGATAGGAGAATAGCTTTTCCCCCAAATATCCAGCACTTATCCTAGTGTACGTATGACTCCTGTTCCTCAGGAGCCTGTCTTTAGTGTTTATTCTGGTTTCCCTGATTCAGCCTCATTTTTCTAGTTAGTAAATGTGTGCCAGGATGAGCTCTTTTTCATTGAGTTATAATTCACATATCATAACATTCATCCTTTAAAAGTGTATAATTCAGCAGTTTTTAGGATAGTCACAAGACTGTGCAAATGCCATTGCCATCTAATTCCAGAACATTTTCATAGTGTTTAGAGACACCTGCTACTCATTAGCAGTCACTCCCCATTTCCCTCCTATCCTAGCCCTTGACCACTGCTGATCTCTTTTCCTTCTCCACAGATCTGTTTGCCTGTTCTGGACATTTCATACAAATGGAGTCATGTAATTTGCAGTCTTTGCGTCTGGCCTCCCTCCCACTCCCCCTGCCAGCGCAGTGCCCTCAGGATCCATCCATGATGTAGCATGCATCAGTACTTCATTTCTTTCCATGGCTGCATAATACTGTGTGGTGTGGATGTGTCTGTAACATTTTATCCTTTCATCACTTGAAGGATATATGAGTTACTTTTACTTTGTGGTCATTACGAATAATGCTACCATGAAGATTCACGTACAAGTGTTTGTGTGAACACATCCTTTCTTTTTGTTTTTACTGTGGTAAGAGCATTTAACATGAAATCTACCCTCTCAGTAAAATTTCAAGTGCACAGTTTAGTGTTGTTAACTATAGGCACTATTTTGTGTAGCAGATTTCAATAACTTACTATCTTGCATAACTGAAACTTTATGTACATTAAACAACTCCCATTTCCCTTTCTCCCCTGCTAACCACCATTCTACTCTCTGTTTCTCTGAGTTTGACTATTTTAGATACCTCATATAAGTGGAATCAAGCTGTATTTGTCCTTCTGTGACTGGCTTGTCTTACTTAATGTCCTCCAGGTTCATCCATGTTGTCACATATGGCAGGATTTCCTTCCTTTTTAAGGCTCAGTAGTATTCCATTGTAGGTAGATACTACATTTTCTCTATCCATTCATCAGTTGATGGGCATTTAGGTTGTTTCCATATCTGGGCTGCGAATTGTGCAGCAGTGAACATGGGACTAGACATATCTTGAGATACTGATTTGAATTCTTTTAGGTATATACCCAGAAGAGGAATTGCTGGATTATAAGGTTATAAGTTCTGTTTTTAATTTTTTGAGGAATCTCCATAACTATTTTCCATAGCACTCTATGAGTTCGTATTCCCAACAGTGTACAGGGGTTCTGATTTCTGTACATTCTAACCAACGCTTATTCTTTCTTTCTTTTAAAATTTTATTTATTTATTTTCTTTCTTTTGTAAAAGTAATCTCTGTGCCCAACATGGGGCATGACCCTGAGATCAAGAGTCACATGTTCTACTAGCTGAGCCAGCAAGGTGCCCCTATTTCTTTTGTTTGTTTGTTTTTTGATAATACCCATTTTAATAGGCATGAGATAGTATCTCATTGTGGTTTTGATTTGTATTTTCCTGATGATGTGTGATACTGAGTACCTTTTCACATATGTATTGACCATTTGTATGTTGTCTTTGGAGAAATGTCTGTTCAAGTGCTTTGCCTATTTATTTAGTCAAGTTATTTCCTTCCTTCCTCCCTTCCTCTCTTCCTTCATTCCTCTTGAGTTATAGGATTAAGCATGTTTTCAGTACTTCTGGTTGTATACCTGGGAGTGGAATTTTTGGGTCATATGGCAACTCCATACCTAACCTTTCAAAACACTGCAAAAATACTTCCCAAAGCAGCTGTCCTATCCTGCAGTCTCACCAGAAATGCAGGAGGCTTCCAGTCTTGCCACATGCTTGCCACACCCAGTCTCGTTTGTCTTTGTTATAGCGGCCTATGTGTGAAGTAGTATCTCATTGTGGTTTTATTTTTTTTAGTGTTTTGTTCCTTTTGTTTCCACCTAGTAGTGGAGTTATTGGATCATATGGTATTTCTATTTTTAATTTTTTAAAAAGATTTTATTTATTTGACACAGAGAGAGCACACAAGCAGAGGAGGGACAGAGGGAGAGGGAGAAGCAGACTCCTGTCTGAGCAGGGAGCCCCTGAGATCATGACCTGAGCTGAAAGCAGATACTTAGCCAACTAAGCTGCCCAGGAGCCCCTCTATTTTTAATGTTTTGAGGAACCTCTATACTGTTTTTCCAAAGTGGCTGTACTAGTGTACATACCCGCAACAGTTCATAAGGGTTCTTTTTTCTTTATATCCTCATCAACACTTGTTATTTCTTAATTTTTTGGGGAAATTCCATACTGTTTTCCTCAGTGGTTATACCAGTTTACATTTCTGCCAACAGTGAGTGCATAGGGTTCTGTTTTCTTCACATTGTCGCTGTTTGTATTTTCTTTTCTTTCTCTTTTCTTTTCTTTTCTTTTCTTTTCTTTTCTTTTCTTTTCTTTTCTTTTCTTTTTTCTTTCTTTTCTTTTCTTTTCTTTCTTTCTTTTTTTACCCAGTGTGGGGCTCAAACTCATGAATGACCACAAGATCAAGAGTTGCATGCTCTACGGACTGAGCCACCTAGGCACCCCTTGTTTTTTTGTTTTTTTAAGATTTTATTTATTTATTCATGACAAACACACAGAGAGAGGGCAGAGACATAGGCAGAGGAAGAAGCAGGCTCTCTCTGGGGAGCCTGATGTGGGACTCGATCCCAAGACCTCAGGATCATGCTCTTGAGCCAACGGCAGATGCTCAACCACTGAGCCACTGTTGCTTCTTTTTGATACTAGGCATTCTGACTGATACCTCATTGTAGTTTTGATTTGTATTTCCCTGATGATAGTGAATGAGATTGAGCATCTTCTCATGTATCTGTTGGCCATCTGTATGTCTGGAAAAATGTCTATTCAGATCCCCTGCCTACTTTTTAATCAGATTATTTGCTTTTTGGTGTTGAGTTGTATAAATTCTTTATATATTTTAGATATTAACTCTTTATTGGATACATCATTTGCAGATATCTTCTCCTGTTCAGCAGTGTCTTTTTGTTTTGTTGATGGTTTCCTTTGCTATGTAAAAGCTTTCTTTTTAACTTAAAACTTTAAAATTTTGTTCAGAAGTTTTTTTATTTTGATTCATTACAGCTTTGATTTGCATTTGATGTTGAGACTATTTTTATGTACTTATTAGCCATTTGTATATGTTCTTGGGAAAGATAGCTTTTCAGATTCATTTTTTCAGTTGGGTCATTTGTCTTTTTATTGTTGAATTGTTTATTCTGGATACTAGACCATTGTCCAGAAAGAATACTTGCAATTAGTTTCTTTCATTGTGTAGGTTGTCTTTATTTTCTTGTTAGTATCTCTTGATGTGCAAAAGTTTTAAATTTTTGATGAAATCCAGTTTGTCCATTTTTTCTTTGGCTGTTTGTGCTTTACATGTCATATCTAAGAAACTATTGCCTAGGGTGCCTGGGTGGCTCAGTCGGTTAAGCATGTCTGCCTTCAGCTCAAGTTGTGATCCTGGGAGTCTAGGGATTGAGCTCTGTGTTGGGCTGCAGGGAGTCTGCATCTCCCACTGCTGCTACCCCCACCTCGTGTGTACGGGTGTGTGCATGCTGTCTCTCAAATAAATAAATAAATAAATAAATAAATAAATAAATAAATAAAATATTAAAAAAAATAAGATACTGTTGCCTAATCCAGGATCTTGAAGAATCATTCTTATGTTTCCTTCTAAGGGTTTTATGGTTTTAGCTCTTACATTTAGATTTTTGATCCATTTAGATTTTTGATCCACTTTGAGTTAATTGATCCATTTTATATGATCTGAGGTGGAGATCTAGTACTATTCTCTTGTGTTATGATCTTCATTTGTCTCAGCCATGATTAGTGCCGATTACTTGTTCAGTTTGATAGTATCCTCTTCACAAAATGGATGCAGTGTGGAAAGGATAAAGCCTTCATGTCTATCATTAGGTTTCAGTGTATTTTAGGCTTTATTTGTTTGATTTTATCTTTCTATTCTGCATGCTTTCTTTTGCATGGATTTATATTTTATCTGGTTTACCACAGTAGTGGGTTGGAGATATAAAAATAAATTCAAGAATGTAATACGTGATTAATGGGACCTGATGTATAAGTTACATAAAAGTGATAATCATATTATTTCTGTGAGTAACAATATCCAAATGACTGGCTTGCCAAGTGAGCTAATTGGTTTCAAAGTTTGGCTCTTTTAATTGGCGGGGCACTTTCCTCTTGTATATGTATTGCTCTGTAGACCTCTGTTTCATACCATCTCATCAGATCAGAGCAGATAATCTTATCTAGGAAATTCTCTGATCAAGACAAGGCACTTAAATAACTAACTTTTCTGTAGAACTACAAACAGGTGCCAAAGCCTCATTTAATTGTTACTTGTACTTTTCGATTTCTTTTCTACATTTTTCCCCTTCTCACTCTAACACATTTTCTTGGTATCTCCCTTTCTTTTAG